TCAAGGCGCTCCAAGACAAGTTCAAGAAAGAAGTTTTGGACACATTCAAGGCAAGCGCATTTTTCTACAACTGCGATAGGTCTCGCTTCCAAAGCATGTTGGACAAGGCGAATCAGACCTACGCCATAGCGTTTGACCGACCGCTTATCCAAAAGGGTGAGCTTCCGAGGTTTAAAGGTAGACCCCTGGGAGGTGAAATTGCCCAAAGCTGTGTTCAAGTCGATATCAATCCATAGTGCCCTGTGGTCTGATTCAACAAATTCACCAAATGCGTAGTAGCCACCAGCCAGAACCGGAACACCTGAAGTGGTAAAGATTCCGTCAATGGGAACGTTGCTTTGATTTCGTTGGTGGGTCGGTGTGGGGGGATGCCGTTTCAAAATCGCTTCCTCCATTCCGCACTCACGAAACCGCTGTTGTATGGAGTCCGGGGAGTTGACCGAAAGGTCTTCATTAGCATTGATCCCCAGCAAAACTTCACAACCCTCGTCCCTCCATTTTTGAATTTGCTTGCACAGGTCATCGACCAATGTTTTGCGCGGATCAATCTTACGTTTTATAGAGTTAAAGTATAGACGTTGTTGGGCCCACACGGTCGATTCCCCTGTACCTTCTCTGTTTGGCCTATATGCCAAGACAATCACTAGATCACGTGAAATCGAGCGTCGGACCGCCTTGTTTACGTCTAGCACCAAGCCGGAGGGATCATCACCCCCCTGTGTCTTCAGCTTTTTTCCTTGAAGACGAACATAAGCCCACCGTCCAAGCCCCGTCGAATCGCTTCCTGATTCTTTAGCTCGGTGCGAGACCTGACTAAGATGCATCCTCCCCATTGAAAGGCTGTGGTTGCTGAAGATTGTGACTGCTCTTTATTATAAGCGACAGCAGAGTAAAAACCTTTGTGCTTTGCCTTCATCGTAGCTTGACGCATCCTATTGTTCCACCCATGACCGTCTGGGATAGAGGGCCAAAACGTTTTGGCCTCCGCCAACAACGCTATTCCCACTCGCTCATCTTGCAGCCAGGAGTTGATCTGCCGCTGTTTCACATGATCACCTTCCTCCGGAACACCGTTAACGTTCTGGAAGGTGACGCGAGTAGCTAGTGAAGAGCGACAGCGATGGTCATCGCCAAGGCAGTCTCCTGGTGGCAGAGAGCGTAAATATTCGTCAAGTGAAGCGTGGGAAACAACACTTGACGGGCCACTAATTCGAGATCTTCTGCCTGCACGCCGTGACCTAGCGGCAGACGACCTGGGGCCTCTCATGGCCCTGCCGCGGAGCGAGGCGCTCCGCGGCCGGCCAAAGAAGGCAACTTAGCAGATCCGTTAGTACCAGATTTGCCAGATGGAGAAGGGAGAAAGAATGGGTGTACACCTCCCGGAGATGCCGCTGTCAGAGATGAGAGGCTTTCGTCCTGGGACACAGCAGTCGTAGTATCACCTTCCATCTGAGTTGTGTCCACCTGGACCTGAGATGTGTTCGGAGAGCGCTGCTTTGGCTGCTGAAAGTGAACAGACGTGCTGGTACAAGTTGACTTAGTGGGCGGCTTAGGACCAGCCTTAGACCTGTTAACTCTCCTCTTAGTCGTGGAAGTATCCTTGCTTTTCCTCTTTTTTGGTGGCGTAGTGAAATAGGACCGATCTGGAGATACCTCATTGTTTTGAGCAGGTGGTTGCGAATCGATGGCCAAGTGGTGGGCTGTCTTACGTTGAAGGGCGTCAAGTTGGGCTTGAAGAGCCGCAGTCGCGGCTTTCTTCTGAGCCAGGGCCTGGTCTTTAGCCGCCAAGGCGTTGTCACGGGCTTCGATCTCCACAAAGGCATCCTCCAATTGTTGTTCACGTTCGTGCATTTCGTCCAGCATCCCCGTGACCGTTTGACCATCGTCAATATCCTTGGCATTTGCCATATCCATATCGATTGAGAGTTGTTCTTGGTAGACATTGGTGGTGTCTTTGATCACATCGTCCAAAAACTCCAGAGCTTCCTCCACCTTGGTGGACTGATCGGAGGCCTCAATAGCGCGTAGTGTGTTGGTGCACCATACCAAACACTTACGACGTGTCGCCTGGATCTCTGATTTGGGAATCCATTTACCCAAGACTCGATCAGCTTGCGTATCGGTAGGTTCGCACAGGTGATGAATCAAGAACGGAACTATCCCTCTCAACACGTTTCGTGCTAACTGACCGTACTTCTTGCGGCATACAAAGATGTACGAGCCTTCCATTTCTCCAGGAAGGATCATCAGGAAGAGTGGACCTGCCTTATGGCGATCAATTTCGTTCTTCAGTTTGCGGTCGGTAGCTTCAGCCAGCTTGCGTTGTGCCGGGGAGAGATCTTTGAGAAAATGATTCTCTAGGCGACTTCTTCTTCTTCTTCTTCACCTTCTTCGTTGTCACCTTCGTGAATGGTCCGGACAGGGAACCCGCTCCCTCCTGGGATTCAAGCCTGATCAGCCTGGGCCGGAGTGGGCTTGATGGACAAGAGCAGTTTGAACAGGGTGCAAGAACCGTACAACCTTGTAGTCGCAAACTTGAACATCCCCGTGAAGTCGATGTCTGGATAAAGAACCTCCGTCAAAATGTAGTCATCCTGTAACTTGCTGATCAAGGTAAGGATCGCATCCTTCACCGGACCATAGGCCTAAACACTCAGCAAAACTTGTTGTGCCAATTTCCAATCACTGATATAGGTGGCCGGTGCTGCAAATGGAAAGTCAGGTTTTGCAGTTGCTGGGTGGAGAATTGACCTCAAAGTGCGATCAAGTCTCTTGGCATGAATCCTCCGAGTGAAACAATGTAGACTAGTCACTCCAGGGGATCGTTCGTCTTACTTTGCTCGGCCCGTGTACGGAATAGAAACCCAGTTCATCTTGATACCAATCGGTACTTTGAAATCAAATAGTCTCATCAGTTCCTTTGCATAAGCTGAGAAGTTGACTTCTGCAGGAATAAAGGAGCATGATCTGATTTTCACAATTTCTCCATACTGCAAGGGAGAAGGGTAGCACCCAGGGCCTCTCCCCAATTGACGTAATCTGGTATGAAGATAGTCTTGGACGGCCTCAACCGAGGCCTCAGCCGAGAAGCCGACGCAAATGCGTGTGCGTAGTTTCTTCTCGCCCGGCTTGCTGTTGGCTGCCGCGTAGGGACAGTTACCATATTCCATATCACAGTAAGTCAACAGAGCGCGATAAGTCAAAATGCGATTATGTAAATCTGTGTCAATTGGCTATTATCCGAATTCATCGATGTGAAAATGCGAGCGAAACAATCTTCACAGGTTGTTGTCCTGGTATTGTCCTTAAATGGATCGTCATACCGGAGGCAGGGTTGGTTCCAAGCAGCAGGAAAACGTTCTTCCCACGCCATAAAAAGCGTGTCACCCGCATGGATACGGTCATGACGTTCCAATGCTTCGTTGACGGCATCTCCTGAATATAAATTCTTCATTCACCACTCCAACAGGTTTGGAACAATGCTGTCGTAATGTCCACTCCTGCTAGCTTCTCGTTTGGCGATTCGTTTTGCCTCAATCTCATCAGCCATGCGTTGCGCTTTGTTGTCGTCAATAACACGCTTCTCATCAGTTTGGGTTGCAGAGACCATCCTGGAATCGATGGGATCCCTGTCTTTAGGCTGTTGTAGGTCAATTTCCACTCGTTGTTTGTTGGACTTTTTAGCCCCAGAGGTCGTTTTCATCTTAGACACGCCCGACTTTTTTGTCATCGCCGAGATTGCCTTTGCGTTGATAGATTTGCCCATGGTGCGCCGGTGTTGAATGGTTGGCTTGGTGATACATTTGAAAGTTTTCTACGTCAGTACTAGCGCTACGCGAGGCAGACTGGTTGGTTCTGCCGGAATGCGTGTTGTCTCGTTTCTGAAATAATTTTTTCTATGGCCTCGCGGATGGAGGACAAGAGATCAAAGTGTGGGGCGGTGGGAGACAGCGGCCAAGTCAAGAAGGCCTGACAAAGCGCGGCAATCCCATCACACGCCACACGGACTTGTGGCTTTGCGAGGGACTGTAGGCGTAGGCGGAGCCAAGAAGCCACCAAGATACCAGCTAACAGACCAATAGGTTCACTCCGGTACGCACTCTGATCCTCTCGATTACCAGGTGTACGGCACTTGATCCAGATGACGTGCCCTCCCCGTCTAGTTCGTAGCTGGACAGGGGCTGTGCCCACTTGTTGCTTGAAGGAGCCACCGCTGATCACCCGTAGCTTTCCCTTCTCCAGTGCCTCCAGTAGGACTTGTTCGTCACCCTCAATGTAGATGGATTCCGGGACCCATCCCCAATCGTCGTCCATGTCGGCTGCCAATTCCCTCCAGGTGTGAAGGATCGAGGCTGGCAAGGACTCCTGGTCTGGTGGATCTACCGGGGCTGTGCCTGTGACAGTGACGTAGGCTGTCCGTGGGTGAAGGTTGACTGAGGCCCGTTGGACGTCCCCGGGAAGGGCGCCCGTCCAGGTGTTGTGAAGATCCCCTCGGAAGGTCTTATGTGAACGCAAGTTGATGGGCTGGTAGATTGCTAGGTTTTTGTCCGTCCGATGGAAGAGGATCAAAGCAGTGCGAGAGAAGAGCCAGGTCCATCGGTCTAGCAAGTCAGACCACGGTCCGAGGGGCTGCAACAATCGGCGACGGCGGCTGTAGGGGCGGAGGACAGCTTGAGAGAGGACGCGTCGCCATAGGTCGCAGTGAGAGGGGTCAGGGTGTCGAGTTTGGGGCCAATTGTAGCTGGTCACAAAGTGTCCGGAGGGTTGGCCGGCAAGAGAAGCTGCCGTCAGGGAACACCCGTCGGCGGTGGTGAGTTCCGAGAGGGTGGTGACTTGGAGATATTGGCGGCACCAGTTGAGCCACAGCAAGTCCTCTTGGTCGACCAAGGCATCGATGAAGACGTCCATCAAGAGACGATCGTCGACACAGTGGAGGGACAAGGGAGGGGAGGAGATCTCGACTCTGATGCCCAATGAGTCGAGCTCGATCCAAACCCGTTTGAGCCATGTTTCGGAGGCAAGGATCCCGGTGTTGGTGGGTTCTTGTTGAAGAAGGGGAAAGGAGATGCCCGTTTCGAGTTGGTGGGACTGTAGGTTGGCCTCCAGGTACTGGCCGGTCTTGGTACGGTTGGCCGAATGGCGCATCAGAACACTGAGATGGTGGAAGACTTGAAGGGCGAAAGGATGGGGGATACCCAATCCCTGGTACTTCAGAGGGGCAAAGACCACGACGCGAGGAAAGGAACGGCAAACCCCAGCTTTGTGCAAACTCGCTTGGAGGATCGGTGACATGATGGACACCCAGTCGGAGCGGCCCAGTGTGGAAAGGGGCATCACGTACTCCAAAGTTTTCAAGGCGGTTGCCTTGAGCAAGGGAAGGACGTCATAGCAAAGTAGGTGTTGTGGACGGAACTTGGCTGCCCAGTTCTTGGCCTTCTCCCGCAGGGCAAGGTGTTGTGCAGTTCCGGTCTCAAGTGGGGCCATCATGACTCCCAGGGTCCGTTCAGCTTCATCGGGTTGGAGGCGTCGTAGTGTCGCCCACGGCCCAGTCGGGTCTTGGAGGGTCAGTTCGCCAGGCATTTCAGCCTTCCTTCGAAGCACCCACGTGCCAGAGGACGGCCGCCATTTGAAATCAATCAGCCACCAGAAGGACTTCGCCGGGTTGATAGCTCCACCAGTGGCACTGATGCCACCCAACCAAAGGTCCAAAGCCAATTGTACCGAAGGGAGGAGGTCTTCGCCAGTCGTCTCCACGTTGTTGTTGGACTCCATGACATCGGTGTCATCCACAAAGCAGAAGTACAAAGCAAAGAGCTCCTCGTTAGTGATGGCAGTTTGGCTCTTGTACCCAAATCCCTTGGCCTCCATGGCGTCAATGAGGATGGCACTGATTGCAACCCAGATGCAAGGGCCTGCGCCGTTGCCTTGACTGCAGCCTTGGAAGGGAACATCTCCAGTGGGCCCAAAGGTCCGATCCGAGTCGCCAAAGCCAGTTCGGACTCTGTGTTTAGCCTTTGCCAAGATATCAAACATTAGGTTGGTGACAGTGACCGACAGGCCGAATCTCCGCAAGGCCGTCTTCGCTACCCAGTGAACGATGCGATCGAAGCAAGACTTCGCGTCGTTCGAGATCCAGCCGGAAGACCGTCATTCCAGGATGAGCGAGTCCCAGATCAATCGTTTGGAAAGGGCGAGATCAATGGACTGGTGCTGCTTTCGTGACCCACACTGTCCTGCAGGGATGATGTCATCCTCCTCAGCGTTCTTCATTGCAGCCCAACCCGCCTCCTTGTAGTTGGCTTGAGCCTCCGAGTTGAACAGCTGAATGGTCCGCATCCCTTGTGGGCGGAAGTCGCCAGGCTTCTTCTCAATCGCAAAGTTCATCAGGTTCTTCCAGAGTTCCGGAACATGGCCTGAACGGAATGGAAGGTCCAGAAACGCCGTATCACAAGAAGCCAACAGCTCCGAAAGGGCGCCTGCTTTGAAGTGCCCATTATGGAGGCCGTGGGGCTCAGAACCCTTGTTCTCAGGGGTGCGACTCCAAAAGTCCACGTGCTCTTCAACCGTCAAGGGGAAAGAACGAGGCCGGTAACTGTCGTACAGTCGACAGTGGCGAAGGAAGGCTTGGGTAGGGTAAGTTAGGCCACCAGGGATGGGGAGTTTGCCCTCCAGAAGAAGTTGTTGGTTGTTGTCGGCGTTGGGACCCGTGAACATAGTGTAGAGAGGCTCAGACATGGGAGGAGTTAGATGTGGAGTCTGGGTTTGTTGGTACCTGGTCCTATTTTCTTGCATGCATCCATAGCCGACAATTGCCATAGCTGTCCTCCAGTTCGACTTGAATGGCCCTTAGACCGCCAGACAAACCGGAGGAACGAGCCTTGCGCCTCCGACAAGTCTCCTCGCGTTGCTTCATGGACCTTAAGCGGTGATATCGTTCTCGTTGGCTTGCCGTCTTGTAGCGGACCTTAGCAATGCTCTGGGTACGAGTAGTGACATGAGCCTTCCGCCGTTTAGAAGTGAGGCCCATCTTGGCGTCTCTTTATTGACCAAGGTCTTGGGTGAGATGGGACTCAAGTTCGGCTGTGGTCAACTTCCAGGCAAAGGGCTCGTTCGTCTTGAGCAGCAGGCGGCGAACCTTCCTGGAGCTCACCTGGCACTGACGTTGGCCCTGAGGAGAAGGCGCCACAAGGTGATCCGATCCCGAATGGATTGGCCTGTAGGAGACCATTCTACCCCGCCCATCGACAACTTCCTGCAGTTCTGCTCCGCTAACCGTCGAACTGTGTAGGCATCAGCGTGTATCCGATCGAATCTGACCGCCTGGGATTTGGTGATGACGCCCTGCTGTCGGGCAACATCGAATCCTAGGGTAGAGAGACGACCCGGAATATTGCACCGCATATAGCCCTGCTCCGCCAATTGGACATATCGTTGATCCACCCGTTTGTTGTGCATCACCAGCCGGCGTGGAGCATGGGTGGATTTCGTAGGTTGGTGTCCGCCGAGGAGACTGTTCAAGTCAAAGTCGATCCACAGGCCCCGGTGATCGGAGGCGACGTGTTTGTCAAAGGGGTAGTACCCGGCGGCCAGGATGGGCACGTCAGGCGTTGCGAAGATGCCGTCAATCGGATAACCACTGAGGTTCCGCTGGTAAGTGGCCTGATGGGACCCTGGGTGCTTAGACTGGATCGCCTCAACCAGTCCTACTTCGTTCTGGACAGAGGGAGACGGGCGCGGTTTGTGGGCCTTGGCACCTTTTGGATTCTCTGGAGTCGATGCAGGGCGCTTCTTAGACTTGGACTGAGCTTTGGCTATTTTCGACTCTCTTTCTAGTTGCTCAAATTCCTCCACAATGGGAGGAATAATGGCCAGGCCGGTCCAAGGATGAGCAAAGAATTTGGATGCCGCTAGCCACATCCAATGTTGGGTCAAACACGAGCGCAAATTCCCAAAAGCGAGGCAACCTTTTGTCAGTTTTGATAACGCGTTGGGCCGTAGCGAGATCAAACACAACTGTGGGGCACTGGGTTGCGAGGCGAAGAAAATACTGGCGAAGAGACCAGGAAGCTTTGTCGTTGTTGGCGTCTTCGAGGTCGCCAAGAGAAAACAGATTTTGCATGCTGGGCCGAAGCTGGGGCATCGAACCACCAAGTGATGGGTCGTACACCTTCAAGCCAGACAGGATTAACGCAGCGATCTTGTTGTAAGAATGAGCATCGGCTTGGTCCGTACTGGCTTCAGCCCACCAGCCGGTGCATTTGGATATTGCCTGACGGCGAAGATTTGCTTCAAAGAAAAGGTCTTCTATGATTGGCGGAATATCCTGCAATGACGTAATTGCATCAAAGATTCCTTCAACAAGGTTACGTGGAGAATCTTTCTTGATGCACTGATTTTCCGGTGAAGAAGCCAGTTCCTTTTCTGTGTCAGATTGTAAGAAGTCTGGGTCCGTGTATCTTGTGTCTTCTGCCTCGGATCCTAGTTTGTCGAGCACCTGGTGGATCCACTTGGATATTCTGGCATATGCAAGCCAGTTTTCGGAAACGAATGACCCATGGGAAACCTTGGCATGGCACCAATACAATTTGAGATCGGCAACATGTGACAAGAATGGACTGGAGAGGGTATTGAAGGCTGCAGCCATCGTTGTTTTGCGATTCCTATCGAAAGCTTCTTGGTATCCTTGTGATATACCGGTCAACAACTGTTCAGATAGGTCCCCTTTTTTTCTTCTTTTGGAGCAAGCGATTACCTTGTGCTCCCAGCGCAAGGTCTGCATGGGACGCCAAAACCTTGGACTCTTCTCCGCCGCCACAAGTCGAACACAAAGCAAGATTGGTTGCCCCATACCTATCTGCAGTCGGTACCACAATTATCGTGCTAACAACTTTGCCTTGGCCAAAGGGACCGCTCATAGAAGACGATTTTTCCGATGCCTTGTTGAGCCCAATGAGAAAAAGCATACATACTCCAGTCTCAATTTTGGCGACAGTAAATACTTTTTCCATTGCTTCAATCGCCGCTTGACGTTGGTTGAAACTGTATGTCACTCTATTTTTTACAATCACCAACATGGGACAATAATGCAAAGCCCCATTTACAGTGTACTGCAATGTCACCAATATGTCGTACGCATGGCAGGAAGTGTACACATACGATGCTCGTCCAGCAAGATACCAATGCTTGAATGAGAGATAAGTTAAGCAGTGAAACTGATTGGTTGGACCTCAAGGAAGACCATGTGATGCTGTTAAAGCGTATCAAGACGTTCATGAACATCATGGATGAGGATGTGTTGCCCAACAGTTGCCATTGCCTTGTTGTGCAGCACCTGTCGTTCCACTGGTGGATGATGACATGGCAGAATCTATGCAAGCAGCCAAGCGCTACAAGCCTAGTAGTTCAAGTCAATCACTTAGTACCCATGTCAGTCCAAGCTCAGAAAAATTTGTTCATCCTGACCAAGGATGCATGGTGGACCCAATCAAATTTTGAATTGGAATAGTCTTGACCGTAGCGACTGTGGGGACACTTTAACTAACCACAGACTTGAAAATGGTTTATTCTCAGACAAATGGCGGACGTTTTGTTGGACTCCTTAAGTAAATGGGCGGACAATTGTCCGAATTTTTGGATCACTTCAGGATTTTTGGGGCCACATCCCCACCAAAATGAACTAGGGTAGGTAGGCACTAGTCGAATGCAAATTTGAAACCTTTTGCCGGACAAGTGTCCACCTATTTGGGAATAGGGAAAATCAGAATAGAGCAATTGGTATTGGTATCGTCAAACTGCTGATTTTGAGAAGTGGCTTCCACCTATTTTCACCATTTTGCACCCAAAATCGTAAGCCGTGTCAAAGCAGTTGTTGTCAAGCAGCAAGCAGCAACAACATGCCAGCCCCACTTTACCATAAGACCCCAATCCACGAAATACCCCCCAAAATTCGGGTGGAATTTGGAATTCTTGGGACAAAGCAAAAATTTCAAAAGACACCTACGGACCTAAAACCTTTTAAAAGCGCTAGAGAATACTTTGCCCATCCCTTGTAAAAAATCCCAAGTTCATAGGAGGTGTTATAGGGGCTCCACTGCAAAAAACAACTTTCTGGTAACGGCTAAAAAAACAGCCGTTAGTCAAATTGACTCAATTGACTTGATATTGACTCGTGTGATTGCCAAAAAAACTCAAGAGGCCAGAGGCTGATCCCGTACCATACGACCTTGTTGCGATTACATTCTTAGATAAATTTCAATGCGATATTATAAGTATATATAATTGCTAGGATTGGGTCCACTCTGAATTAGAGATCTTTGTGTATATCGATCTTATTTCAGGCCATTCCACAAAGTCAATTGAAAAGTAAGAAAGAGAGAAAAAAATTATGCTATCCTAGATTATATTTTCCGCCATAGCCCTCCAAACCACCACCCAAATTCGATTACTATATATATTTTGACCAACTTTGAACTTGGTGCCATCGTGTCAGGGTATCGACTCGGCTGCTGAGAAGGTTTCCAGCCACATTGTTTCATGAACCTGGATTGATCCCCAAAGCAGTGTGAATGCTATTCAATCACTTTTACCTAGAAAATGTCCACTCCAAAGCCACCAATCTTCTCATGCATACCCATGGAAGACAAATATGTGTTAGAACAAGGCATTTTTAGGAAATCCGGCCCACACCACCACCAAAGTGGCTTTTTGGACCAGATTTCCATGATTTCTGACCCTGTTTGGGCGGCATGATTCTCAATCTAGGCGGAACCATTGCCTGGGTACCAGAAAATTTGAACAATAGGCATCCAAGGGAGGCTCTGGTGTATTGTTGAATGGTTGGCTGTCTGAAAGGGGAACAGACAGCACCAAATACTGGAATTCCAATATCTCAACAAGTATTCATAACAAAACACAACCGAATGGATCCCCAAGTAGGTAGGATTACTGCCGAGCTTTCCAGCACATGTTGAATGGGAGGCGTTGGTCTCTTGACTTTCTGCCGACCAGTTTTGGTAGCCCAACAGAACCAGTCAAACGAAACAGGGTAGATTGTAGTGTAACTGAGGCAAATAACCCTAACCCTAAGTATGAATGGCCGCTCCAGCCATAGTCTATCTATCAAATACGCTTGTCACAACATGTGCTTCACTTTTTACTTCTCTGGGCATCCACACTGGCTTGTCCAAACTAGTGGAACAATTGCACCATGGCACCTTGATGTGCTCCAAATCGTCAATTTTGGTAGTTCGACACTGCAAACGAGTCTCCGTGTAGGTATTGTTTTGATGGTGACGGTAGATATGAGTTGCACTCGGCAAATACGTCTTCTTGACACCTATCCGTCCAGTCCAAGCAACCAACGGAACCAATCATGGTGGATTATTGTGTGATTGAGGCCCAGAAAAGATGTTCAACGTAATTACTGCCGCTCCCGACGTAACATATATATCAACTATGGTTGCCACAACCTCTGATTCCACTTTCTCTACTCATGGGGTCCAGGCTGTGCAATTTTATTGAGACCGACAAATTTGCAGCTCAATGGTCTCCGTTGAAAATTGTCCTGTAGGAACCCAGATAGAGAATATAAAATGGTATCATTACCGTTAGTATAATAAGATAAGCAACTTCCGCAGAACATTTCTATGTTGCCTTGGGACTTTGTAGACGTCCCGAAACCTCTCTAAAAGTAGTTTTCGTACCTTGTTGAGGTTCTTTAGCAGTGATTTCAGAGGTGAAAGGGGCAAATGCATCCATATCGCTTCATACAAACAATATAGATACGGTCACCATGCAGAGAATGTCCGCGATCCACGAGTTTTCCTCTAGAGGGTGATGCTTTCCTTGGCCTCGGGCTCACCATTGGCGATGAAAGGGAAAATTGATGTGATTGAAGATTTCTCAATGGGCAAGCGCAGAGAGGTGCGCGATGGGTTCGGAAACAGATGACGTACGGAAAATATCGGGTTCGCGCGCAAATTCTACCAAGCGACTCGAGACATCACCTTTGTCAACAATACCATGTGCCGATACTACAATACTGAGGGAGTATGTAACAAAGCTGGCCTATTACCTATATCCAAGCCTATACTATATTACCTACAGCTATTCGTCTTCCTTAATTCATTCCACTCTCTCCACAGTGGCAGTCTTCGCCATTCTTCAGCAACTGCCGCCGCAACACGGACACCATAGTAGCTCTCCAACATAACAATCAACAGATCTTAGACCTTGGGGAAAAGGAAGGGAAGGGAAGGGGAATCTTCAATTGTCACTCTTTCGTCGTGCCGTTTCCAGCCTCTTCTGTAGTAGATTGTTTCATTTTCTCGATAACTATCACCCCACTTCTGTGACCTTGACCTTGCATGACTGCGCTAATGAAAACCAATCGATCTGGTGGTACACGTATTGTAGATGATGCAGGTGTTGCAGACGGCGTAGCTACCTTCTTTAGCTTCCTTTTCGCTGTCAATCATCTTCCCATCGTGAATGGTGATGCGAATCAGTAAATTCGTCGTCACTAGATCAAAAATTGTCGCAAACCGGTTTCGAGCGTAGGGCTAAAATCCTAGAAAAAATGCGCGTCGAACCGTCTAATCGGCGTTAGATTGCGACGTCTTTAAAAAATGACCTATTTGGATTTCTATGGAGACCAATCCGCAACAACCAGGAGCATGTCCAATATTTGCCATTGCACTTTACTTGGGTCTGATGGCCAGGCGTTTGGAGATGAATGGGCTCTTGTTTTCCAGGGAATTCCCATCACAAATATTTCATGGATGGGCTAAGCAAGTTGGACTTTTTCTGAAGTCATGTCCGCCACTTTGCCAATTCAAGATTAGATGAGGAAATGCCAGAGGATAATCAAGAAAAGTGTTAAAATGCGCTGCTAGTCAGCCAAAACAGATCAATTACTGGACGAAATATAGACAAGGAAAACTTGTGACTACAAGATCCTTTCAGACTACAAAACTACACGTACGGAGGACAGACCAAGTACTTCCCAAAATAATGGTCCCCTCAATGTTGACTTGATACATGAATCAAGAAACATTGTAACAATAACATAAAATGCAGTGTACCTCTTGTGGAGGACGCCCAAGCCGACACAGTCCAAGGATGACCATGCCCACTGAAAGCAAAGGCGATTCATCGGCTTTAGTGTGGAGGCAGACCAAAAAGCACATTCAGAGCTTTGATCGCAGATTGTACCACTCTCGGAATTTTGTCTTCTTCATACATAATAAATCCCACCAGACGAGCACATTCTCTACCAGTATGAATCTTTGTCAACATATCGGCAAGATTTGTTTTGGTTCCTTCCCAAGCAACCCGAATAAGATCACTTGCACATTTTGAACGAACATAATGATAAGCAACAGAATTGCTTTTCTTTTTCAAGACAGACTCTGGGCGACTTGCGTTCATCACAACAGAGTTGTTATCAACAAGAGCATGGCAATGGCCATCAATCGGTACGCCCATCATTTGCAATTTGTATACTAGACCTTCAACCAATTCAACACCAGTCTTCAACGCAGCAAATTCACTTCCAAAAGAACTTGTTTTGACAGCATTTTGCTACTTTGAATACCAAACGATCGGTGCATGATTTAAGAGGATAAGAACACCTGTTCTGGATTGACGTGTAACAAGATTGGAAGCATGTGAGGCATCATCAAACATCACAATCTTTACTGCTCGTCCAAGGGCTTCTGGCATATCAGGAGGCAGTACTTCTTTGTCCATGGATAGAATTCATGCCATTCAGATTTTGGTATGTCGGTCAGAGCCATATATGCGGAATCCATGACAATCTTGCGGCTTGGATGTGTTTCAAGATAACCAAAAAGGTGTAATACTGCATGAAAGTGTCCAACACAAGGCATGACATTGTACGAAGACATCATTGAGACTTCAGCACAAACGTTCATTCTTCCAAGCTCAACCAACCACCGTAATATTCCAATCAGTTGCATATACAGTGTGTGTGTCTCTGCGTCAACAAAATCAGTGTTGTCAAGCTCAGGCTTAAGGCAGCAGACACGTTTCTTTTCAAATTCAAGTTGTATTTTTGATGTGAGATTTGATACTTAACGACACGTAACATTTCAAGCAAATAGTTAGTCGAACCAATCGTCCAGCATTTTTGAGAATCACTTGGGTCAACCAAACGTTTTGAAATTGTTGCACCAAGGAATGTTGTAGGCTCTGCAATTGAATCAGGTTTGAGCATGTAATGTGTTCCAAGCTTCTCCAATATAGAACGAGGATTTTCAGAAACAGCCATAAGGTCATCGGTGTAAACAAATATATATTTGTAATATTTTTCGCTGTTTGTCTTCAAGGCGGGTTTTCTCCAAACATCCATATCACCATAGAGTGCGTTCTCCACAGCAGCAGTGCGACCCTCAAGGTCTCCGAACTCGGGTCCAAGTACGGCGTAAATCTTCTCAGCACAAGGCGCGTTCAAATACGCTCCAGCAATGTCAGCAGACAAGATATCCAAACCATTTAACAAAGCACGCAAGAATCCAATACAAATACTCTCACGAGTGACACCACTGGCATACGTTACCAAAAGAGGAGGATCAGTTTGGTCCCCTCAAGCACATATCCGGGCCTTTTGTGTAAGGTCCATCTTGACATCAAAGACAGTCATCAAGTCAATACAAGTATATCCAGGGGGAACAGGTTCATTTGGTCCCAAGATTCTTAAAGCAGGCAACATAGTTTTAACTTCCTTTTCAATAGCATTTCCCCAATGATTGCTACCAGTGTTGGCATCAATCTTGCAGGCACGTCTCACGCCTTTTGGACCAGTACCAGGCAATTCTAAACCAAATTTCTCAGTCTTGCGAGTTAAGGCTCTTCTTTTCACAGCCTTTAGAATTCTATCACGCTTCTTCAAAGTATAAGGAACCCACCAAGAGAAAGCAGGCTCAGACACAAGTTTGTTAGCAACAGCATATTCGGCCACCTGAATTGGATAGGCTCGTTTGCAGTTTTCAAATCAATCCATTCTGTCTTATCACCATGAATTTGAGCACACAGATACCACCCTTTTGTAGTTCTTTGAGGAACTTTCTTATTCTTTACCATGACAAAACCATCATCAGCATGGACTCGTGTGCCATAAGCACCCGAAGGATCCTGTAAATCATCAATCTTGATGGGGTCAGAGTTTTTCAAACAGTTATGCAAGTCTTCGGTAAAACGCTTTTTCAGTTCTTTGATATCTGTGCTATCCCGCTCTTCTCTGGAGAGAGGAATCACACTTGAACGCTGTAAAAATTTTCCACAAGAAGTGGCACATGCAAAACACAGAGATCTGCCAATGTTAAAGCTGGGTCCAAGCGAACAACACAATTGCTTATTCTCTTGACTGAGTGTGTTGGGGACAAAGCCCAACACCAATCATAGATACCAAAATCAGCAAGATGCGAGATAACTTTCGTATTACCGGAGATCCAACCGGCACCACAGTCATCACCTTGTCGAGAGTGACCAAGAACCATGTGACTTCTTAATTCCAAACAATAGATAAAGAATCAATCCCAAAACGCTTTTGGGATCCCTCTTCTTGTCATAAAACGAACATACATTCTTGTTGCTTCACAAATACAATCTTCAGCAAGGTTCTGATCAGGATTGTAGGGCTCGCTAGGATGTATTGGAACCTGGGCCTTATTTGCGACTCTTCGAAATTCTCCAGCAGTCAACGATTGAGCATCATCAGGTTGGAGAACTCTTGGAAAGCCAATATCACAAAATAGTTCCTTGAGCGAGTTGCTCACTTCAGATTCTTTCTTCAAAGCGTAGCCACGGGCCCATTGACAGGCAGCAGCATAGACAGCAACATACTTATTTCCTTCAGCAGAAACACAGGGGCCTTGTTTGATATCGGCCCAAATATCAGCACGCAACCTAGGATATTCAAGTTGGAATTGAGTGGGGCAAAATCGTCTTGAGCCTTTGACTTTAGTCCAGTCCCGCAAAGCACGCTGAGTTTTTTTCTTGAGAGTGCGACGGGCACATTCAAGGCTGATTCGCCATCTTTGCGCAAGTTGTTCAGGTTTGACCAAATAGCTCTTGCCATTGGTTTTAACACCATTGATGGTCGCCTCAACTCTGTCCCCTAAAGCGATAGGAAGAGCGAGTGGGCAAATAGAGCGGTAGTTGGGATCAGAGCGGTCAACAGAATAGATTTGTTGAGTGGCAATGTCCCCTTGATATTCACGTCGTAGATTTTGTTTGATGTGAGAGGATTCCGGGTCATAAAGTTCCCAAGGGACAGAACTGGTCATTTCCACCGAGACATATTCATCAAGTTCAGACAGCGCAGGTTTGCGACAAGCAAAGAAGCTGATAGGCTTCAGGAAGTCCATCAGGATATGTAATCCCGAGTTTTCATCAATAATGGAATGCGAATATTGATTGCGATCTTCATAAGCAACTGCAATCTTCATAAGCAACTGCGGTCACAATTTTGTTCACGCAAAGTGTTCAATTCTGCAATGTCACGTTCACTCATAAGACGACTGTTAGCATGTTCACGGGCTTGGAGGACCACACGGCGATCACGATCAGAGAAACGACTCCAAGTGTCTTGGGAGTATCCACCGTTGTTGAGGATGGTCGTACCATCATCGGACCATACAGTACCATCGTGGTCGCGACTACCACCTCGTCCGCGACCCCCACCAGTCCATGTTGATTACGATTACAATTACAACCACCACAATCACGACCACCATTATCACAATCACGACCAAGTCCACGTCCACGATTGGAGTTTCGTCCTCCACCGTCGACCGCAGCTAAGGCTCTTGTACCGCTAATTGCTGTTAAGCGATGAGTTTGCTGGGCCGTATCTTCAGTCTGCAAAGTGTTGATAGCCGTGCGCAGGTTTTGCATACATGCTTGACTTCCTCGGACAAGTGTCTTACAGGCGTCCAATCCTGCACTCTGCGGGCCTTCTTTGATCATGCTCAAGAACTTGGTTACCTTGGCATGTTCCGACATGCCATCGCCACAATTTTTCAAATCTTCAAAGGCACCAAGAACCCGTGCCGCAAATTTTTCAAAACTAAAATTCTTCTTTCCATTGTAGTGGGTTGTATTCAAGA